TGACCGTCAAAGACTAAAAAGTGTAATAAAGGAAACTATCACTTCGTGAATGGAGGAGTTGAAGAAGCCTTGGAGAAAGGCTGCAAAAATTGCAGAGCTAATGAGAGGGTGACATGTATGCAATGCATTAAATAGAAAAGACAACTGAAGCGTTAGTACTGTCATAGCATTGATTATGGCAAAAATTCCCTTTTTAATGAAAGATCCACTTCCCAAATATTTAATTGATAAATAAATGGAAAGTGGGGGGACTATCTGTATTGGGAAAAAACTGAATTTAAATATTGAAGGTGACGTGTCATGACACGTGGACCGGTCAAATAGTCAAAACGTGGTAATCAGTTAGAAGACACGAGCAACAACAGACGCGGGAGAGAAGATACTTAAAGGCACGAACTGTTATTCAAATGAAACGAAACTCGTACTTGTTCGAGTCATTTAAAGTTCGAAGGTCAGAAGGAATTGAAGACATGAATCTGATAGCGAAAAAGAGTCCAAATTTAGCATTAAATGCCAAATACGTTAGAGAATTTGTATTTAATATGAATGATTGAGTAACGTTTCCTTCAATATCATTTATTGCTCGTAATTGCCTCATTAAAGCAAAGGCATTACACTTTCTCTTAAAAATTAACTATAAAAAGAGGATGTCACAACATCTGTAGGAGACACAAAAAACACTACTGGAATATACTTTGTTTTATTTGCTTTCTGATTATATCATTCAAAATTTCTTTCTTATACACTTTTCCGATTATCAGTAACTCGAGTTCTTCTAAATTCAAACTTTGACCTAAAATCTAATTTTTGGTTAAACAGTTACACTATGAATGAAACCAAACATGCATGAACAAAAACAAACAGAAAAAGGAAAAAAAAATCACCGTTTTCTCACACTAGCTAGCAAACTTGACTACATGCATGAAACAAACTTGAAATCATAAAGATAGTAATGAACTAATTATATGAAGCAAAAAGGTGTATTGCTGAGTGTCCATCTGAGTCTCTCCCAAACCAGTTAGGCCCTAGTGACGTTAGTTTCGAAACTCGAGTTCTGACCCACATTGTTGCAACCACTCTGCTTCCTCGTACTGGCTCTTTCTCCACCTTGTCTCTCAGAGACACTTTTCTGGTCTATTGTCTTGTGACTAACTCAAAATCAAGTTGTCCTCCTTGGTCATCAATTTTATGATTGAAAGTGCAGAAGATCCCACTAGTCTACCTTATGGTATGGCCATCACTCACATATTGGAAGCCAACAATATTTCTATATCTACATATCCCTTTATCTCTGTTTAGAAATCTTACAACTCTAGAGCTTTTGCGAGTATGGGGTATGTGTGTGTGAAGGGTTCATGGGTTAAGAAACAAGAAGGAGAAGTAAAGCATGCTCAAACAGATTCCAAACCTAAACCTTCTGTTTCCCATCCTAGCCTCATTGACCCTGACCTTGCTGAAAATCTTAGTGCCATTGACAATCAGCTATCTGCAATCAATGATCTTCTCTCTGCCACTCAGTCCACTGTTGGTGACATTCATGCTATCTCCAAAGAAACAGGGTCTGATGTTTCCAAGATCAGAGTTGCAGTTCTCAGAGTAAGGGGAAACGCTGTTAAGGCTTTCAAGGAGCTTCATGACAGGCTTGATGGAATGAGTGTTTCAGCCAATGCTAGTTTTGATCGACTGAAGGAGGCGATCTGCAATACTCTTACCTATTTTCTGCGTCCTATTTTCGTATGTGCTTTAGTATGTGCCTCAGTATGTGTTTTGCTTTCCTGTTCCCTCTTTGCTGATGTCAAAAAGGGGGAGAGAAAATATATGTATTTGTACAGGTACATACAAGGATAAGTCGACTGAAGGATAAGTGTAAGTAAACAGATCGACACCTCTTGAGGGGGAGTCATAGATCCAGCAGAAGAAGTCGACTGCATCGACTGCATGAGTGTCAGAAACTACAACCAGATACAGGGAAGTCAACTGTTGTTTATACATATATTATTTTGTCATCATCAAAAATGGGAAGATTGTTAGATCTAATTTTAATGATGAAAACAATATATTTATTCTTTGTATAGGAACTCATGGACAGCATTCAAGATTGAAGGAATCAATCAGAAAAGATCATAAAGAGCATACAAGATTGACGGAATCCATCCGAGAGAATTAAGGAAGGCATCCAAGATTAAAGGAGTCAATGATACTGACGAAATCAATCAAGGCTAAACTGAAGGAATCAAATTAATCAAGAGTATCGAAGATCTTGCAAAACTGAAGGAAACAAATCAATCAAGAGTATCGAAGATCTTGCAAGATAATCAATCAAGGATACCAAATCTGGAAGGATATCCAGCGCTATCAAGTCACGCATAAGGGAAGTCATTAAAGCCTTTCGTCAAGCCATAGCCGTTGCTGAATAACCTTATTCTTGGAAAGAATCAATCTCTTTCCAAGGAACAAATCTCTTAGGTTGACAAATCTCTCCAGAAATCAAGCCTCTCTCAAAGTATTTAAACTTGTATTTGTACCTTATCACGACATACTTTGATCGAACCAAATACCCTCTCTTTGTTATACCAGAAAAAAAATATTGTAGCTCTACTAGATTTGTTGTATAACAAGTTAGAGAAGAAAGAGAGAACAACACTCGTGAGGCATTGTATCAAAGAGAAACGAGTGATATAGGAACTGAGTTATTGGTGTAGATCACACCAATCACTGTGTACTCGAGAAACTCATTCACAGAAAGAGAACTCCCTTGCAACCCAAGGGGACTGGACTAGGATTCACATTGAATCCGAACCAGTATAAAAATTTCGGTGTCTTTAATTCCTGCACTTATTTTCTGCATCTTAACTCCTGTCCTTACTGCTATTAATTCATTATATCTAGTAGACTCATTAGAAAACTAGTCAACTGGTAGCAATTAATCTTAAAAATAAACAACCCCCCCCC